ATATGTAAGCGGGCAGCGCTCCTTAAAAAAAGGTATGCATTTGGATTTTTCAGGAATGGTCTGAGGAGACATTGTTTATGGTCTGAGGAGACCCTTTGATTTATTAACAGAATTTGTGGTGTTTTTGGAGTTTTTTATTTTTTTATTTATTTTATTGTCGTGTGATAGATTATAGAAGATTTAGGGTCCTTGACTGTTAATTCTCTTGGCTCACGTTCTGTGGGTGGTGGTGCCATTTTTCCCACCAACTCATCAGAAAATCCAGGACTTCAAATCACCACAGTGGAGTTGGATGGTTCCAACTATTTGATTTGGGCACAGTCTGCCAAGATGTTCATTGGTGGTAAAGGCAAGATTGGCTATATTACTGGTTCTGAGAAAGAGCCAGCTGAGTCAGAGAAGGCATATCCACAGTGGTTTGCAGATAACGCTATGGTTATGTCTTGGCTAGTCAATTCGATGCAACCAAACATAGCTGTTGGCTATATGTTTATGAAGACTGCTAAGCAGATTTGGGATTCAGTTCAACGCACTTATTCTCAAAGGCAGAATAATGCACGAATTTTCCAGCTGGGGCGACATATCACCAGGATTTTTCAGGGTGACTTGACAGTTTCAGGTTACATCGCCAAGCTTCGTGCTATTTAAGAGGACATGTCATATTATGATTCCTTCCACTCTTGGAAGGATCCAGATGATGCAGTTTTATATGCAGGAATTGTGGAGAAGAATTGAGTGTTTCAGTTTTGTGCCGGGTTGAATGACTAGTTTGAGTATGCTCGTGTTCATTTATTGGGCTTATCTTCATTCCCTACTCTTGAGGATGCATATTCCTATGTGTTGTCAGATGAGAGCTGCCGGACTCATCCATTAGGTGTTGCTTCTGTTGATCATTCTGGGACGACAACGTGGACGGTGTGACTATTACGGAAAAATTGGTCACATCAAATCTCGTTGTTATGCTCTACATGGACGTCCACCGCAACAGAAACAACAGCCTCGATCCTTTGCACATTCTGTTACACAACCAGTCTCGTTGTCAACTCTTGACAACCTTGCCTCTACATCTTCTGTCACAGTTACCTTGACTTAAGCTAATTTGGACAAGTTTAAGCAATTCTTCAACCAAATGGAGGCATCATCTCAGCCAACCTCCACTTATGCCCACTCAGGTACTATTGCGTCTGCACATAGCGTATCTACATCTTAAACACCATGGATCATTGATTCTGGTGCTTCAGACAATATGACTGGTATGTCCTCACTCTTCCAATCTTATAGTATCTTCTCTGGCCAACGCAAGGTCCGCCTTGCGGATGGCTCTCCATCTTCCACTGCTGGGAAGGGTCACATATCAGTTACTCCTTCATTAACTTTGTCAAATACACTTTATGTTCCAAAGTTGACTACAAATCTTATTTCTGTTAGTAGCGTTACCAAATAATTAAATTGTAGTGTAACGTTCTTTCCCTCTCATTGTATTTTTCAAGATCTGGTGTCAAAATGGACGATTGGCAGTGGGCGTGAAGTGGACGGTTTATACCTGTTGGATGCTCCTTTGTCACCTCAAGCACATTCAGCTTCATTTTTTAATATTGTTTCATCTAATAAAGCCCAGCTTATGCGTTGGCACATGTGTTTAGGACATATTTCTTTTGGTTATTTGAAACATTTATTTCCTTCCTTATTTTGTAACGTGGCAGTGTCAGATTTATCCTGTGAAACATGTCATATGGCTAAACATGTTCGTTCCAATTATCCTGCTAGTAGTAATAAATCTGCTTTAACACCTTTTGATCTTGTTCATTTAGATGTGTGGGGTCCTTGCCCAGTTACTTCTAGTCTTGGATTTCGATATTTCGTGTTGTTCATTGATGATCATAGTCGTGTTACTTCGGTTTATCTTATGAAAACCAAAAATGAGGTATACACCATTTTTAAAAATTTTATGACAATGGTTCAGACTCAATATGGTCGTACCATTAAAAAATTCCGATCTGACCAGGGTACAGAGTACACTTATGGGGAGGTACAACAGTTATGTACAGAATTTGGGATTGAGCATCAGCTGGCTAATGTTAAAACTCCTCAACAGAATGGTTGTTCTGAGAGAAAGAATCGCCACATCCTTGACGTAGCTAGAGCAATCTGCATTGGCATGAATGTTCCCCAGTCATTTTGGGGAGATGCAGTTCTTACCGCTGTTTACATCATTAATAGGACTCTTTCTAGGATTCTTAACTTTATAGCCCCATTCTCAATCTTACATCCCAATTCATCTTTATTTTTGATTCCTTCGCGAGTGTTCGGGTGTGTGTGCTTTGTTCAACAGTTAGGGCAAACTCGTACAAAGCTTGACCCCAAGGCTTTGAAGTGTGTGTTTTTGGGCTATTCTCACTCTCAAAAAGGTTAGAGGTGTTACCATCCTCCCAGTCGTCGGCGGTTTATAGCCATGGATGTTTCTTTCTTTGAGCATACACCATACTATAGTGGTTTAGTTGGTTCTCAGAGTGAATGGTTCCCATTGAATATAATGGATGATCACCTTCTTCCGTCTTCAACTCCTCTACCATTACCTGTTTCTTCTTCTATAATTCCTCCTTGTGATACCCCTCCAGCAGGGGGAATTATTCCTTTTTCATAGGTTTATAGTCGGAGATAAAAGGTACAAGCTTCTACTCCCACGATCGACTGCCCTGTTCCTTCGGCACTAGCTTCGCCTTTTCAAGCTATTGTTTCGCTTGATGATCACCCCATTGCTCTTCGAAAGGATAAACGTTCTTGTACTTACCCTATTTCTAATTTTGTTTCTGATTATGCTCTCTCACCCTCCTATCGGAGTTTTCTTGTTTCTGTTGCCACGGTTCCTGTTTCTTCCAGTGTTGCGGATGCACTAGCACAACCTCAATGGCGTGATGCTATGACAGAAGAACTACAAGCACTTGAGAAAAATCAAACTTGGGACACGGTTCCGCTTCCTATTGGACGAAAGGCTCTGGGTTGTCGTTGGGTGTTTACAGTTCAGCATAATCCAGATGGGTCAGTTGCTCGTTACAAGGCCCGATTGGTTGCCAAGGGTTATGCTCAGACTTATGGCATAGATTATCAAGAGACTTTTGCCCCTTTTGCCAAGATGAATACCATCCGTGTATTATTTTTCGTTGCTGCAATTCGATCTTGGCCTCTATTTCAGTTAGATGTCAAGAATGCCTTTCTTAATGGTGATTTGCAGGAGGAGGTGTACATGGTTCCTCCGCCGGGCTTTCGTTCTCCTGCTCATTCTGGTATGGTATGTCGTCTTCGTCGTTCTCTATATGGCCTCAAGCAGTCTCCTCGAGCTTGGTCTGATCGCTTTGGCATTGTTATGCTCAAGTTTGGTTTCTATCAAAGTACAGCTGATCATACCTTGTTTTTACGTCATTCAGGCGGTAAGACAGTTGCTCTTATTGTGTATGTCGATGATATTATTCTTACCGGTGATGGTACTACCGGAATTAATGAGGTTAAGAGCTATCTTGGTCATCAGTTTGAGATTAAAGATCCGAGTCCCCTACGGTACTTCTTGGGCATTGAGGTGGCTCACTCCAAGACTAGCATTTTCATCTCTCAACGCAAGTACGTTCTTGACTTGCTTCCTGCTTCTAGTCAGCTTAGCGCTCGTTCTGTTGATACTCTGATTGAGCAGAATCATCGGTTCGCTGATTCTGAGGGGGAGTTGTTGTTAGATATTGGTCAGTATCAACGACTTGTGGGGAAGCTCATCTATTTATCCATGACTCGACCTGACATTGCTTATGCCGTGAGTGTCGTGAGTCAATTCATGCACTCTCCTCGTGCCCCACACCTTGATGCAGCTATTTGGATTCTTCGCTACTTAAAAAGGGTGTCCAGGCAGTGGTATTTTGTTTGCTAATCATGGTCACTTATGTGTTGAGGCTTGGACAGATGCTGATTATGCAGGATCAATTTCAGATAGGAGGTCTACTTCAGGTTATTCTACCACTATTGGTGGTAACTTGGTTACTTCGCGCAGTAAGAAGCAGGATGTTGTCTCTCGATCTAGTGTAGAGGCAGAGTATAGGGCTATGGCTCTTGGGGTAGGTGAGTTGCTTTGGCTGAAAACCTTGATGACAGACTTGTGCCTTCCAGTGTCGCTTCCATTCTCACTCTACTGCGACAACAAGTCTGCCATTAGCATAGCAGCAAATCCCGTTCAGCATGACAGGACTAAGCATATAGAGGTGGATCGTCACTTCATTCGAGAGAAGATCATCTCTGGTCAAATTTGCACTCCATTTGTTACAAGCTCTCAGCAGCTTGCAGACATTCTTACAAAAGGCGTCAGCAAGATTGTGTTTGAGAATGCATTGTCCAAGTTTGGCGTTTCAGATATCCACGCACCAACTTGAGGGGGAGTGTTAGCATTTATGATACCACGATTTATGGTATAACTTACCACAATAGCAGAGATTTGACTATGCATATAATATCATATATATGATACCACGATTTATGGTATGACTTACCATAATAGCAGAGATTTGACTATGCTATAGAATATGCCATAGAATATGCTTTAGAATAAGTTGTGATTTGATTTTGATTTGATTTAGTTTCCTTTCTTGTAATATGAGCATGTGCTCATTTTATCTATAAATACTAGAGTTGTGAATGAGTAATTCATCTCATTCAAGCCTTTACACAATTCTCTCTTTTCTCTTCTTTTTATATATTTCTACTGGCTCAGATTTTCACTTCAAACTTCAGAAGCCATGTTGGTATGCATTATTGCATATACAGTAAAACCATGAATTCAGACTTTCTCAGTGTTGGGCCAATGTGTCTTAACATATTCATATTATTTGAACTAAAACAATGAACATCCTGATTTCAATGGTTATGATTACGATAGCAGTCACTTTATTGATATAGTATATTTGTTCTTTAGAGTTAAATTGCATAACTGGTTTTCTGTTTTGTCTCGGTCATTATATTTGCAGTCGAGAAACAGGTGCTTTAAATCGAATTATAGATCGTGGTAGCCGTGCAATAAATTTTATTCTTTCATCCATGGTATTCAATGTTGTACCCACCTTCTTAGAGGTACCACTCTCTAGCTTTTATTGTTTTTAATATGCATAAAGTGTAGTGTGTGTGTTTTTGTATACAACAGCAAAGCTGTCCTGGATTCTATTACTTCTACATTTTGCCATCCTTGATAAAGAGTTGTAGTCTTGGTGATATTGGCTTTTAATTTCCTGCTTGTGCTGTAGGTTTTTAGCTCATTTTTTTTTTTTGTTATGATCACATTTCTATCCTATCTTGTATCCTTCCAGATAGCCATGGTATCAAGTATACTGGCATACAAATTTGGAGCACCATTTGCATGGATCACTTCTCTTTCAGTTGTTGCGTATATTATTTTCACATTGAGCATAACCCAGGTACATCATCATCTGCAGATTATTTTCCTTCTTTTGTTTCTTTTTTGCTCTCTGGGGGGTGGATGGGTAGGGGTTACACTTCACAATTTCCGGAAAAAACTGACAGCACATTACAATTCGCGTTTGTCTTAATGCTGTGTATGGTAGGAAGGAAGGAAGAGGTGTGGAGAGAAATTAGGGAAGGAAGGAACGAACTTCCTTTGTTCGGTAGAGATGATGCAAAGAAAGAAAGGAGAATAGGAAGGATGACTCATCCTTCTTTCTCTACAAATTTTCATCTGCCCAAAAAATGGGCAGAAGGAAGGAGGGAAGACAAGTGGACTGTTATAGAAGTTTTAAATTAAATACTATCCTAAGTTATACAAGTTTTAAATTACAGTACCATCCTCTATAAATTACAATATTATAAATATTATTGGATATAATGGTAAAAACAATTAAAACTCTCTCTTTCCTTTTCTCTTAAGGAACATAGGAAATTATAAGCTTATTCTTTTCTCTTCTATCCAACCGAACAAAAAGAAGGAAATGCACAATTTTTTTTTTTTTTCATAAGTAAAATTGTATTAGAAAGCGTTCTAAAGGGGAACGTGTCCCAAGAGCTGTACAAATAACGAAACCAAAAAAGGGAGTCCTATGGACCCAAAGAACCCAAAAAGTCTACGATTTCATCTAAAGATATACAATTTCTCCCCATAACCCAACTAAAAAGAGAACAAATAATAGAAAACTTAAACGCCCCAATGGAGAATTCCTCCCCATCAAAAGATCTTCTATTCTGCTCTTTCCAAAGACTCCACCAAACACAAAAGGGGGGTCTACACAATCTCTTCCCTAGGGATTTTTCGTCCATCCCTTCTCTCCCTTCCATCTAATTTTTTTTCTTTCCTACTGAACATAGCATAACTGATAGTATGGATATAGTTTAAATTATCACTCAACATTCATCATTTTTTTTACATAACATAATTTTGTTCAACTTACATAATATTTTTTATTTATTTTTATTTTTTTGATTACTTAGCCTTCAAATACTATATGACAAAGCCTTTTTTTTTTTAATATTGGAGGGGAGGTGGTTAAAGATCAGTTGGTCTGAAACAAACTTACTGAATTTGGAAATTTTGAGAGAAAAGAGGTGCCAATTTCCATGAAGTTGTGTGTTTGAGGCAGACTTTTCTCCCCTTTTGGTACCTGACTACCTGTCATAGCAAAGAAACAGGCATGAAAAAAAAAAAGGAAGGAAGAAGAAGAAGAAACAATTAAAAAGGAAGTAACATCAAATCCTTTTTAATTAAAAAAAATTGATATAATGTTCATTTAGGAAATTTAAATGGGTTTCTGTTTCTGTTTGATATTGATATTTGGATCACATGCTTTAACTTAAAAAGGGCCACAACTCACGAGATAACATTACTAGTCTAAATATTAGGATTAGTATATAGAAAGTCAACTATGGAGCCCACGATTTTGAGGATCTTATGTGGATTTCAGTATTTCACACTGATTCTATCCTCGTGGAATTCTTGGTTCGTCGAATTAGTTCTGTAAGATTGTAAAATGGTAGGTTTTGGGGTGGAATTTTAACAACGATAATATTTGTACGGTTTAAAATTTTATATTATATATTTGTTTAGTTTTTAGTACTTTGTCCTCTTAAGTTGGTGGAAATTGTGCTATTATACGTTACAATGAAAACTTTTCCCTCCATATACCTTCTCCAGTGGAGGACTAAGTTCAGGAAGGCCATGAACAAAGCTGATAATGATGCAAGTACAAGGGCGATTGATTCACTCATCAATTATGAGGTGAAATATTTATTTAACTTCCACGAATATCTTTGTTTTCTTGTGATATTGATTGCTCTATTTTTTCTTGTCCTCTCCTTTTCTTTCTGGTTCTTTCCTTTTTTATTTTATTTTATTTATGTTCTTTCATTTTCAGACTGTCAAATATTTCAACAATGAGCGTTTCGAAGCTGAGAAATACGATGAGTTCTTAAAGAGTAAGTTGTTTAGTGTTTATAGAAGTTGCTCACTATGATTTAATATAGTTGAATGGTGAAATAGGAATTGCATACTTAACATTAGCTGAATTCGAAAATAGGAATTATGTAGTCAAGGTTAAGTGGTTTAGATAAGGTTGAAGCTGAGAAATATGATGAGTTCTTTTAGAGTAAGTTGTTTATTGTTTATAGGAGTTGCTCACTATGATTTAACTATAGCTGAATGGTGAAATAGGAATTGCATGCTTAACATAAGCTGAATTGCAAAACAGGAATTATGTAGTCAAGATTAAGTGGTTTAGATAAGGTTGCTACTGAACTTGCTGAATCTGTTGTTTTCTCCATGTGCGGATAAATGCTTGCATAATCAAATTGAAAGGGTTGTGCCACCTAACCAACCAGATAGGATTATTGGAATGATAATTTGGATGGAAAGTGTCATTGTTTTGGTTCTCCATCATGGGTTAAGACTTTAGACCTTTTTTTTTTTTATTTTTTATTCTTCACTTTATATAATGCATAATTCAAGGTAATATTCTGTAATTTTTTACACTGACAAATATATTATGTATGATAAGCTGTACATGATGATGATGATGATGTTTTTTTCCTCAGGGTATGAAGATGCTGCTTTAAAAACGCAACGTAGCCTGGCCTTTTTAAACTTTGGCCAAAATGTGATATTTAGCACAGCTCTTTCAGCTGCTATGGTTTTGTGTTCACACGGAATTATGAATGGCGAGATGACAGTTGGTGATTTGGTAAAATTGCAACTTAACTAGTCTTTCAACTTCTATATCCTTAAACTGATTATAGTTGTCAGACACATAATTTATTATCTTTGGAATGCATAGGTTATGGTAAATGGGCTCCTGTTCCAGCTATCTCTTCCACTCAACTTTCTTGGCAGTGTATATCGTGAGACTGTACAGAGTCTTGTTGACATGAAGGCCATGTTTCAGTTACTCGAGGTATTTCTGGAGTTCCTATGTTTATCATTCCTACAAATTTCATTCCTAGTGTAACTCTTAGTTACTAGTTCTTTCAATTCCAGTAGTTAACTTAGTTAATTATCCTTTCAATTCATAGTATAGTAGTACTTTAACTCTGTAGTTCTCTTTCTTTAATGAAATTAAGTCCTTTAGGTACTATTCAATCTTCCACCATTTCCACAATTCCGAAGTCCTTGTTAAAGGCAAAAAGGCAGTCCAAAATGGGTGGTCATTCCAGACCCTTTACGCAATCACTTGATAATTTCTCTCAACCGAATCAATACCTGTACTATTGCTTGGCCTAAATTGGGATTCGGCAAAGTCCTGGCATGCCCGCGCGCACACCAAAATATTGTGGCCAAACAGTACCAAACAAAGTATAAAAGAATAAAGGATAATGAAACATCTATCTCATTACAATGGAAGTGTGTAATTGTGCTATTGTATTTTTGCTTCATGCTGTTTGTTTGTCTTTTTTTCTGAAATTAAATGGAAAGAAAGAACCATCTTCTTTTATGAAGCTTTGTATTTATTATTTTTGTTGTGATTTATTCCCCTCTTCCATGTTTTCTTACATGATAAAATTTCTCTTGAATGATTTATGTTTTTATAAAAAGTAACCTGAGGTAGGGTGAGGAGTCCCCAAGACCCTAGAAGAGAGTGGATGAGTGGGCAATGGCAGAATTAACATTGATCGGTTGTGTTAGCGAATCCCTTGAACCCCCATCTCAAGATCATCAAGAACTCAAGAGGAAATATTAAATAATGGGTAATTGATTTGTTCTTTATTTTTGAAACGTATGAGCTTGCTTATGAAATATTATTCTTCCTTTTTCCCTGGACATATTCTTCTTTTCATTTCTTCAAATCCTCAATAGTCGCTCTTGATGCCAAAATTTCAGGGATTTTCCTTTAGCACCATAAGTTTCAATATGCTAGTAAGTAATAGCGATCCCAAGAAAGCTGGTTAGTCCAAGGAAACTCCAGACTATGAACATACATGAGACCAGATTAACAATGCAGGATATAGTGAACAAATAGACTATATGCTGGTTCCACTGACTTGCAGCACTAGCCAATGGTGAGAGATCCAACCAATGACTAAAGTAGTTTTAAGGAACATTTGGAGGACCAATCACTCTTATTTGGGAAGGAACTATCAAAGGTAGGATTGATGATTTGTAAAAACAACTTGACAGAGAATTAACCCTTCTAGTCCTGCAATCACCAAGCAATTCAAATTTAATCACAATCACTCTCTGCTAGTTATTTTGGTTTCATTGGAACTAAGGAACTATGATCTAGAACCAACATCCTGGCCATGAGAAAATCTGCGGTAAATTCTTATCCTCACAAATAGCATTGTAGCTTTCATTATGCAAATGACCATATGTTGCTTATGCGTGTTGCTTGTTGAGTTACCTGTGGCATTTGGCAGATCATTCTTTATACTCGGTTTTTTTAATCCAATAATCTGTTCTTATTAGGGATTCCACCTTGACATAAGTTGCTTAGGGAGGCATAAACTATTTCTTGGCAATTATTTTTCAATTTTTTTAAAGCTGAGCTTTTGTTTGTTTATTCAAGTCTTCATTTGTTATGTTGATAGTAGCATTTTCTGTTCCAACTTCTCTTCTGGTAATTGTTCTGTTATAGTTTATAGTGCCTTGAAATAATTTTCTTCTAATTCTTACCACAGGAGAGGCCTGAAATCAGAGATGATGCAGATGCAAAGCCTCTGCAATTAACCGGGGGTAGCATTCAATTTGACAATGTTCACTTCAGGTTGTTATTTGTACCTCTATTGGCCTTCCTACAACGGAAGGAAAACAGCTGTTTTTATTTTTATTTTTGTCATTCACTTCATTACATGGTCTACAAACATCATAATCACAGAAGTTGAACATGTATATATATGGTCTAGAGGCATCAGTGAGTCGTCACCAATTAGGGGTAGATTTACTCCATGTAATGATTGTCAAATAATATACACTATCTTGTTTAACAGTTTTTTTCTTTATTTTTTAAATAAAATTTTCTTTCAAGACAGTATGATGAGATGGTGTGAAGGCATCTGATCATTCTTGAAATACCCTTGATGGAACCCACAAGTTTTCTCCAACTTCTTCTTGTAAGCACATGTATAAATTTGCATTAATTATCAAGATTTCCCTTTCTCTTGTGCATTTTCCACCATTTAGTAACTTCTCTTCTTTGAGTTCTGAACTTTCTGATGCTGCTTCAAGTTTTATCTTTACCTGTTCTTATTTTGGCTTTGTACCTGAACTGGGTTCTTTTGATTAGGTTTTCTACTTGCTTATGCTGGATATTTTATCAAATAAGTATCATCTTTTTGTGCCTAGGTGTTTTTATTTGACTTCAAAAATAAGACAGATATATTTGCTGCCTCTTTTTCTTAGTAGACCTTTGGTGATTTGTTAGTCTCTCATGATGCACTGATTCTGTACAAGAGTTAAAATCACATTGGCTCTTTTTTTTTTCAAAAAATATTTTTGGTTTCTTTGGAAGTATTGGTTTTAATCTTCATTCCGAGAAAATTTCAACTTGGTCCCAATTCCTTGATAAGTTTCTTGACATAGAGAGAGGGTTTGCTGCTTCTCTCTACCAGACATACAGATGATCTGCTGTTGTACTTTATATTAAAATGGCTGCTTTGTCTTTTTTTTGTTAAGTAAGAATATATTAGAAAGCATTCAAAAGGGGAACGCATCCCATAAACTATACAACGGCAAAGGCCACAGAGAGGAACCCAAGGAACACAAAAAATCAATGATTTCCTCCACAGATTTACGATATATCCCCATCACCCAACTAAAAAGAGAGCTAATAATATGAAATTTCAAGGCCCCAATTGAGGATTCCTCCCCATCAAAAGTTCTTCTATTATGCTCCCTCCAAAGGCACCACCAAACGCAAAGGGGAATTGCCCTCCAAAAAACCCGGGCGTGGCCCCCCATGCTGTAACCTCTCCAAGCGTCAATTAAATCTCTCGAAGACTAAGGCATAACCCATTGGACTCCAAACAGCCCAAAAATAAGGCTCCAACAATCGTGAACCACGAGGCAATGCAAAAGAAGGTCCCCATCCCTTTTGCACAAGCTGCACCAATTAACTGTAATCTGTCTTCTCTTCCTCAAATTATCCATGGTCAAAATCTTACCCCAAACTACAGTCCAAACAAAGAAAGCAAGCATCACCAAACTGTCTTCCAAGGAAAGATAGGGCCATGAAAGTTGGAGAGGCAATGGAACAAAGAACGAAACTCAAGCCTCCCTTGAGGAGAAGGAACCCACAGTAAAGAATCAGATTCTCTCCCACCCAAGCTATATAAAAGATTTAGGAGGCCAAAAAAATTGTCCAACTCCCAATCCTGAAAGGAATGCCGAAATCTCACAAGTCACATCTCACGTAAAGCTACCGCTATCAAGTTGATAATAGTCGGCCACCAGGGCATGCCTATCAACAACAATCCTGTAAAGTCTAGGGAAAGAACAAGACAACTGGCGATCACCACACCATAAATCCTCCCAGAGCCGAACATTCCTTCCATTCCGAGCTCTAAATTTGATTTGTTTAGAAAACTCATCCTAGCCCTTCCTAATAAACTTCCACACTCCCACACTGCTAGCAACTCTAACTGCCCAGATGACCACCTGCCTCTCTCCTCCCCAAAACGACACAAAATAACCTTCCTCCAGAGATAATGCTGCTCACTACCGAATCTCCATAATCATTTACCAAGGAGGGCCCTATTAAAGGGGGCCAATCTCCTAATGCCAAGACCTCCCAACTGAAGGGGCCTGCAAACATCCTCCCCCCGACCACCCCACAGATCCGTTGGAGTCTCTTAATCCTATCAGTAACAGGAACGAATATGGAAAAGAGACAGAAAGCATGTTGGAAGGCTTGACAACGTACTCTTTGTAACAACCCTTACCCTATCCAAACACAATATTGCCCACTTTTGGCTCCCCTGGACCAGAGACTTTCCAGAGGGTCACCCATCCTGGTACTACTCCAGAGTAAGCACGCTTAACTTTGGAGTTCTAATGGGTTTAAGGCCATCATGGCTTTTAAACACGTTGTGTTATAGAAGGGTGTTGAATCTATATATAACAATTGCCTTTTCTACAACTAGGCGATGTGGAATTATGCACCTGTAGCTCACCTAGTATGGTAGCTTGCCAGTGTCTCGCACCCGCCCACGCACACCTGCGAACATAGGTCGCCACAATCACCTCCCCCTTTGGGGCCAACGTCCCCGTTGGCCACATTTCCGGCTGGGTCAGGCTCTGATACCATTTGTAACAATCCTCACCCTGCCCAAACATAATATTGGCCGCTTTTGGCTCCCACGAACCAGACACTTCCCAGGGGTTACCTATCCTGGTACTACTCCAGAGTAAGCACGCTTAACTTTGGAGTTCTGACGGGTTCAAGGCCATTACGACTTTAAAATGCGTTGTTTTATAGAAGGGTGTTGAATCTACATATAGCACTTACCTTTCCACACCTATGGGATTATGCACCTGTAGCCCGCCCCAATATGGTAGCCTGCCCGTGCCTCGCACCCGTCCACATAAGTCACCACACTCTTTAAAAGAATAACCTTTCCGCCCTTCGAAAAATCTGCTACTGCCACCCAACCAATCTTCTTTCAACCTGCTGAATCATAGGATCTCATCCTCCCACCCTTCTTGACGAAGCACCTAGAGGCAAACCCAGATAAGAAATAGGGAAGGAGCTCACCCCACACCTGAGAACCTCAGCAAGAGAAGCAACATCCTGAACACAGGTCCAAGCACACTCTTACCCACGTTACCTTCCAACCCAGAAACTGCCTGAAAACACACCAACATACACCTCAAGTATCTCAACTGAGAGACATCCGCATCACAAAAAACTAGGGTGTCATATGAAAACTGTAAATGGGAGATCTCCATCTGACGACCTGGATCAGAACCCGCCCTGAAGCCCCTAATGAGGTCTAAATCCATTGCCCTCCTCAACAAGCTACTAAGAGCCTCCATAACAATGATGAACAAAAATGGAGAAAGAGGATCCCCCTGCTGCAGACCCTGAGAACTGCCAAAAAAACCGGTAGGAGAGCCATTCACCAGAACAGAAAATCTAACACAGGAAATTCAGGCCTCTATCCATCTCCTTCATCTTTCGCCAAATCCCAGCCTCCCCAGCAGATACAACAAGAAGCTCCAACTAACATGATCATGAGCTTTCTCAATGTCAAGCTAACACAACACTCTAGGAACACCACCACTCAATCTGGAGTCCACACATTTGCTTGCAATGAGAGAGGAATCAAGAATCAGCTGCTTAGTTTTAACATGTTGGATCTTCTTTTATCCCCTCTGATTGTGCATCTATACAGTATACAGTTTGTTCTGTTTATTTGAATATGTTGAATCCTGAGGACCCAAACATGGTTTAAGTGCTATTAGTAAATACCTAAGGTTTTAATGGCCCACCAGTGTGTCCCACGAATGCATTCAAATTGTGCTGAACATCGCCATTGTGCAGTACTCTCAAGCGCGCGGTTAAATACTGTAATGGTTTATGGATTATTGCTTACTGATGCAAAATCTTTGTTTCATTTAATGTAGTTACCTGCCAGAAAGAAAGATCCTTGATGGGATATCTTTTGCGGTGCCACCTGGAAAAAGTGTGGCTATAGTTGGAACCAGTGGCAGTGGTAAGACTACAGATGTATCATAATTCTTAAATCTCACAGGCTCTCTGCTTTTAATTTGTAATGGTCACTGGTTTCTGCTACAAAATTAAACTTTTCATCTTTGTTTCTTATATGATTTTATGCGATCTTTCCTCATCTTCAAATTCTTGTTGCACTGGTAGTGGTTTCCATGCTTGGAATGCCCATATAGAATTTTTGTTGGAAGTCTCCATGTAGACAAACACTTTTCGACTCGCGAATCCATTGGTTGTGTTGCATGAGAGAGCAAAGGCCAAATAAAAATTGTCTTCATGGAGAAACGAGTTTATGGGCGGTCCATCCCTCAAAAATTATTGAAATCTTTTCTGTCTTACCTTGTATATCTCTCTTCAGTGGTGTAGTTCCATCTGCCTTGTATTCCATATTGCACTTATTTTTTCGATAGAATTTCAAGTTCTCTCGTATTATATCTTGGGAGCTCTCATCTTATCAACCATGGCCTCCTTCCAATCTAAGTCTTGAAAGTGCATCCTTCCAATCTTGAGAAAGGCAGAGGATGTGAAAGCACATTAGGAGGGTGAGAGTGGTTTAACGCAAAGTTATTGTCCTATTTTGGTGCACCATTTCAAGATGGCCATTATTGCTTTAAGTGACCCCATTCTGCAAGGTTGTTTGATCCAAGTGATATTATCATCTTTAAAATATATGCAAGGTTACTACTATGTAAAAATACCCTGCCCAACCAACCCAAAGAAATTGTCATTCAAGAAATTTGTTTCGAGCATAGAATTGCTTTTGTATCATATTGTTTGCATATTAATTGTGGAGAAGACAAGTAGAGGAAGAATATAAGCCAAGGGCTCTCTCTCTTCCCTTTCTGTCATTTTCACTAAACTGTGAGAGATGTGAATTAGCAATGCACAAAAGTATTACTTTAAAATATTTGGGGTACACATTTTTTAACAGACCCCCTACTTGTGGGGTCCACTGATTATAATCATTCTTAACAAATTAAATGGGCATTGTCCTTGCATTGCTCCTATTGGGATGCGTTAGGAAGATCCTAATTGAAGTAGGGGCACAGTTTGGGATACAGACAAAAACTCCATGTAGGTTTGAGGTGGGGTTTGTCGAATGTTCTCCAAATTTCACCTTCCCCAATGTGAGAATATATAAATAGTTAGTTTTTGGCATGCTAATCTATGTTATGTCTGGCTATTGTTCTTGTAGTAACCAACAAAATGATGCCCATGCAATCTCAATTATCTATAGTTTTCAACTAAGAAGTCATCCTTGCTCCTCAGAATGCTTCTTTATAAGTTAATTTGTTTACAGCTTCGCTGATATTAAATTGTTTATATTGCAGGTAAGTCAACCATTCTTCGATTGCTCTTCAGGTTTTTTGACGCCCATTCGGGAAATGTAAGAAATGAAATTTCTCTGCTACTGAATGTTCTTAGTCTATGTATTAGTAATATTTTCTGAACACCAATATACTTATCATCTGATAATGTGCTAAGCAGCCAAGATCGATGGTAAATTTTTGAGTCATATTCTGCTATTTGGGTTCTGAATGATTGTATATATCTGTGGCAGGATCTTGCAACTGCTGTAATTTTTTTTTATCAGGAGTAAAAAGATGAAGCTCTATTTACTGTTGCTCTCTTTGCACATTGCATAGGTGATAAAATTTTGAAAACAAAAGAATGGACGTTTTCAAGAATGAAATGCATATTGTTCTTCAATAATCTTGAAACGAAATGTTTAGTTTGGTACATTGTGGGATCCAGGAAATCTACCTCTACTGTTTTTATAGATTTAGACATAAATTATAAAAAAAAAACAAAATCATGTTATATATACAAATTTCTAGAAGACCATTTGTATAATTTTTTTTGTATGATGGACTCCATTGTTTAATAAATTTAAGGTTTTCAATAAGTAAAGGAGGAGAGTGTATAATGTGGTCCAGGGGGCAACCTTGTTGCTAGAGCTTTGTACTCTAGTGAGACCATTTCATATACCCTTTTATTCTATTCCATATTTTAACAGACTTCTTCAGCCTCCTATCTCTTAAACTTTGAAGGCCATGGATGCCCACTAAAAAAATTTCATCAGTGCTAACCGAATTAGTGAAATTGTATATTAGTTTCAACTTTTAGTGTTAGTTTTATTTAGTTATTGTGTTAAGACAATGAAGTTGTAAATTCTATAATTGTTTTTTTTTTTCTCTCCCTGGAAGTTTAAATTCTGCAAGTGTTGGAAAGTCATTTTCATTTGAAATTAGGTGAAAATTTAAATAATTAGGATGGATATTTAAAGAAATGAATCGCATTATTGACAGGATGGCTCTAAGCTTGGTAGAAGCAGTGTTATTAAAGGCGAACCAAGGTGCTAGAGGTCCTTTGGAGCCTAGGCGCGTGGAGCACGGTGAGGCACGCGCATGAGTGAAGCGAGGCGCGCAATTGAAATTTAAACTACCATAAAAGCATTCATATCTCATAAGTCATAAGTCATATCAATATTCTTATTTAATATCAAATATAAAAAAGCAAATCCATTAACTATATAAGCTTTCAAGAACCATAAAACACAGCACAAATTTGTTTTCTTGCAAAGCAAAACATAATTTTTTTTGGAAGGCAAAATAGAGCACAAAAAGAGATAAATCTATTAACAAAAAAAAAAAAAAAAAAAAAACCCTGTTAACAAGAAAAGAAAAAAAAAAAGACGCAGAGACAAAAGAAGTAGATGAGAAGAGAGAGAGTGTTAAAGAAGAAAAAAGAGAAAATATAGAGCCCAAAAAAAAAAAAAAAAAAGACGCAGAGAGCAGAACTAGACGAAGAGGGAGAAGTAAACAAATATGAGAAGAGAGGGGTAGAGGAGGGGAGAAGAGGAGAGAGAAGAAGAAGAAAGAACTGACATGGCTTTGTCGTTCATCTTTGCCACTAGGGTTTCGTCGTTGGTCTCACAGTCTCACTCTTTCTGTGTTCGGTTGACAATTAGACTCTTGGGCATTCTTATTTGTTTATTCTTTTGAACAAAAATTCCTTCTTCATATGCTTAGGCTTTCTTATTTGTTTATTAAGTTGCCAAATGCACCCTTTTTGGCTTAAGAAATAGAATAATCATTAAAAAAAAAAAAAAACTGTGAGGCGCGCCTAAGCGCGCTTGACAATAGGACAAGGCGCTACCGAGGCACGTGCCTAGTAAACATCAGTGCGCCTGGGATGACAACAAGTGCTAGACCTGCGCCTCGAGCCTAGGGGTCCTCTCCTTTTTGCCAAATGATGGAAGCATGTTTCCTTCCTCCTTCCTTCCCTTTTACACAGTGTTGTTAAATGCGCGCAGTAGAAGAGAATGAAGGAGGGAAGAGAGGAGGGATGAAACATGCTTCCATCATTTGGTAGAAAGGAGAGGACTAGGCAAAGGATGGGAGGAGGGATAAGGCACCCCTCCAGGCCCTCCATTTTTCTTCCGTTCAAAAGTGGGTGGTAAGAGAGGAGAGAGAATAATATTTGTTTAATAAAATTGAAAAGACATCATTAAAATGTACTAATTTTTATATGTTAGGGTCTATTGGTAAAATGATTATATCATACATTTCCTTCTTCCCTTCCATCCAAGCAAACAAAAGGAGGGATGGACACACTCTTTTCCCTAGGTATGCTTCATCCATTTCTCCTCTCCCTTCTGTCCAGTTTTCCGAGCCTCTTACAAAAAGGAGCACAATGGATAGAGAATTAGTTGAAAATTGTCAAGTAGGCTAGGACACAAGTAAAAGTACTTGTTAGGAGACCATTAATTAGGAGCACTCTTTTGGGCTAAGGGTAGCCAGTTGATTATAGAATCTATTTTGGTGTGGCAATTCACAGTCTGCAAGAAATTAGTGAGTCATAACTTCATTTCAAAAAGCTTTTGGTGCCGTGGTCCCACCCATCACTTTCTAGATCTGCTATTGGTTCAGTAGGAAATATAACATTCAATTAATGAGGGGCAATATTATTCAATTATTGTATGGTTACTACCTTCATAAAGTTCAGATAAATAAGAAGCAACAGTACCCTTAACCAAATGAAACAGCCCCAATAAAATACAACAACCAAGCCTTTTCCCTATTACTTGGGGTCAGCTACATGAATCCTATGTTTCCTTTCCGCTCTATTTAAGGTAATAGCCTCACTGCGTTAGTCAATCCACATGCTATCATATATTTCTTTGCTAATTCTACCCTCGTTAACTTTGGTCTTCCTCTTCCCCTAGTATTACCCTCAATGTGGATTATGTCACTTTTCCTAACTGACGCACTTAAAGGTATTCTTTGCACATGTCCAAGCCATCTTGACCAATTTTCTCTCATTTTATCTGCAATTGGTGCTACTCCAACCATCTCCTGAGTATGACAATTTCTAATTCTATCATCCTTTCTAGTCTTACCGCACATCCACCTCAACATTTGCAAAACAGCCCCAATAAATGGAAGTACTAAAATATTAAGAAGTTAATGATGCATGTTCTGGGGACCTAGCAAATGCTTTTCCCTTCTCGTTGCTTCTGCATCAACAGCTTTTACTCCTAGCAGTACTAAGTTTGAATTCATACATTTAATCATTTACTGATTTTCTAGGTCTTACTTTCCTTTGGTTTGCTTTGACCTTATTCTTGTACAGGTCATTGACAAATTGCTATTTGACAGATAAGTATAGATGGGCAAGACATACGGAAGGTAACATTGGAGAGTCTACGGAAGTCCATTGGTGTCGTTCCGCAAGATACTGTGAGTTAATCGAAGCAATGAAATATATTTTTCATGCGTTCTCTTCATAATTGGAAGTTTCCCATGTGATCTAAGTTTTAACTATAATATACTCATAACCAATGATGCATGGCAGGTACTTTTCAATGATACAATATATCATAACATTCATTATGGTCGTCTTTCGGCAACAGAAAAAGAGGTTGGTGATCAAATTTACTGCTAATATTATATCTTCTATGCTTGATCATGCAATGTTAACTTGGTTATTTTCAATTGACTTATTTTGTTAGGTGTATGATGCCGCTCGACAGGCAGCAATTCATGACACTATCATGAATTTCCCTGAGAAATATTCTACTGTGGTAGGGGAACGTGGGCTCAAGGTGAGGCTTAATGCTTTTAATTAAGTAATACGTCTTTTTTCCATCATAATTATTGAGTAAGAGTCTTAGAGATGCTAATACCCCCTCACCTTGCACCTCCCTCTCTCACAACCTCTTAGGGATCGAGAAATGTTCTGGTTTGGATGGCACAGACCGCCCCTTTAATAAGCGTATTTTTATAGCTTTTTTATGCAAGTTATTAGTAATTTAAACAAGTTAATAGACTGAGTAATACATGGCCTATCCATATTCACTCAGGAGAAAACGTAAAACATCATCCATGCAGGTGAGGGACATTCTTTGCCTGTTATGTGTCCCAAGTCTATGGCTAAAATCAGATGGTCCTAAATAGGAATGGCAATTTCATAGGACCTGTCAGGTACCGCCCCTAGTGGGACGGAAGTGATACAACAGTTAAATGAGATAGAGGCGGGTTTGAGAAAATAAGATTGAACCTGACCTGGTTCAGCCTTTCAGGGCAGGTCCGTCAGTGATCTGCCCTGCCCCATTTTATATAGTAAAGTAACTATAATACCATTATTTTCTTCTGATTTCCATCAAATGCCCATGCATATTTACTTTTTATTCCTTAGGATTACTATCAGTTATTCAGTAGTCTCTCATCTATGTCTTTGGTGCGGTGCATCTCTTATGTTCTCTCTCACCGTCTTCATCTCCTGCGTGTTTGCCACTAGGGTTTAGGGCAAGCTAGAACCACCCCCGCCCCCCTGGAATTAATAACCAGAAAGTGCTATGAGAGTGGTCTATGATAATTATAGGGGGCAGGCATGGGTTTCTGAACTTTCCTTCAAATCGGGGATGGGACGGGATTTAAACCCACTCTGGGTTCAGGACGGAGTTGGGATGTGGCATCAAAAACCACGGGGTAGGGTTTAGGGTATCCTGTCCCAAACTCGCCCCGGTGCCATTCCAAATTCTGGTTCATCTGATCCTACTATTGTTATTGTGAATTCAGTTTCTTTCCCTTTTGGCCTGTTGTTTTGGCTAGATTGTTTTACTTTGCTGTAACTGCTGGACCTCAAAGGTCCCAATTTTGCGTTCATTTACATTCTGAAAAAGCACAAAAAGATATTGTCATCATGTTCGCATCCCTATGCTAAGTCGAAATGTTGCAGAAATTCCGAAAGGGCCCCTTTTTGTCCCCCAAAACATTATTTTCAAAATCACATCATTTTTCACTTTTCCAGAACTTCTAAATTTCATTTTTATTCTGGAACACCATTTTTATTGCCCTTTTAAAGTGTTGCCAAAATTGGAGTTGACAATATTGTTGTTTAGCATTGTGGTCACATTGTTGCACAATATTTACCACTCATTAGGAGCACGTTTTGATGACATTCTTAAGCAAATTTAGGCAACAAACAGGATCTTAGCATGTCTGGTAAATTTTAGGTTTTTCCATTGGAGCCATGTAATTGTATATCCATTTTCTCTTGGGGGTATTTTGGCACTCAGTAGAGGTTTTTTTTTTTCCTTTCTAGAAAGAACGCTTTGTGACCAAATATTTTTATTATTTTGAAAAAAAAAGGCTTGGTATTATAAATGTCTCATTTCTATAATATGTTTTTTGTAATGGTTGGTGGAAGCACCTGTGTTTTCTTTTACAGAACCATCAAGGTTTCTGAATGACCTGATCTTCACTCGGAGCTGATTCATAAGTTTATAGATTATCTTTTTGCTTGCGCTATGTTAATTCGCGCAAATAATGCCAAAAGTAAGATCTGTATCTAGTCTATCCCTCCCAGCATCCTCGATTAACAGGCGCCAGACTAAGTAATGACAATTTTGAGTTTGTTTCTTTATGAAATGCCAATTAGTTGTTATGAGGTTGTTCTTCTCATTGCTCTTGCTCTTGGACAAGCAAATGTGCATTAGTTGATGATGCATAGTGATGATCCGTTAGATGTTGGTAACCATTGTTCAACGGCAAAAAGGGGAAATGTGGGGTCCTGGACTACTTTGGTGGTTCCTACTTGAGCACTTGTGTCATTTATTTATTTAATTTATAAGTAAATATTGTAAAAAAAAAAAAAAAAAAAAAAAAAGGTGTTCCAAAGGGGTACGCATCCCTCAAAAGCTACACAAGGCCAAATAGGGCCGTTAGACTCTCAATGAGTCCAAAAAATCTACAAGTTCTTCCAAGGATATACAATTTCTCCCTAGAACTCAATAGAAAAGGGTACTTAAAATGGAGAACTTCAACCACCCAATAGGATTCTCCTTTCCTTTGAAGGATCTCTTATTTCTTTCAAGCTGAAGACAACACCAAACTCACAAAGGCGTAACACTCTAGAAGTCACAAGCTTGAGCCCCACTATACAACCTTTCCAAGCCTCAACCAAGTCACTGGAAGACCTGGGCATAACCCATTGAACCCCGAACAATCCCAACAACAAAATCCAGCAATCCTGAGCCATTGAACAATGCAAAAGGAGATAATCAACTGTGTTTCCTAATCATTCTTACACATGCAACACCAATTCTCCTCAACTTAAAAGGAGAAGATAGAGGGTGTTTAGTGTTTTACTTGTTTACTTTGGGGCATTATTGTAATTTTCTTATCTCAACAGATATATATATATATATATATATATATATATATATATATATAAGAAAGGTGGTGTAGAAACCCCACAACCATCAAATTACGTTCTCTTATTTCTCCTCCTCCTTTTTCCACTCCTCCTTGCTAACCCTAGACACAAATTCCCCTCACAAGCTCTAAGTTGGTATCAAAGCAGGTAGGTCTTGTGTTCAAACCTCACTGTCACCCTGATTTAAAAATTGAAACATGTGTTGGACCAAAAGAAGGCCACACTTGAGGAGGCGTGTTGAGGGATTTAAATATTTAAGTTACACCCTCTCTAACACTTTGAGAGGGGCCCTTTGAGCGCCAAATAGCCCTCTATGGGAAGGTTGCTCTGGTGCATTCGAAAGACACCTATTAAAAGATCTGACATCAAAGCAACCTTGGGGAGAGGGAACCCACACTCAAAAGAGTCAGAAACGTCTCCCACTATCTCCTAACCATACAGGAACTCCAAAAAGCCAATGACATTCTCAATCTCCCAATCCTGAAAGTGTTTAGAAAAGTGCACATCCCAGACCTTACTCCCACTATCGAGGTGATTGCAATCGACCACCAAGGCTTGTCTATTTATAGACTTGTGTTATTTATCTCTAATCTAACAAAGTGACATAATTTAAACACATTCATGGTTAGGGTTTGGAGGGAAATTATTAGAAACATAACTTCTTACATGGTTTTTGAAAATTATATTGGACATCTATTGAGAAATTTTGAGAAAACAACCTAATATGATTTTATAAAGTTGCCATCTATTAATAACCAGACTATTCTAATTTAAAAAAAAAAAAAAAAAAAAAAAAAAAAAAAAAAAAAAAAAAAAAAAAACACTATTATTCTGAGCTGGTTTTCAGTAGATGTATGAACTTTCACTAATTCGGTGTTCATTTTTTCTCCTGCAGTTGAGTGGTGGGGAGAAGCAACGTGTGGCGCTAGCTCGCGCTTTCCTTAAGGCACCTCCCATTCTGTAAGTGTATCCTTTCAAAATTTTGCCTTTTGGCTGGACCCACCATTTCTGTAATTGAATGCCTCTTCTATATGTGCCTGTGTAATGCTTTCTGTTTTACTTTTACAATTTGAGTTGTTAGTCTGGGGAAAGTGGTTGCAGTTGGTAGATGACCAATGTAATGTTCTTGTAGTGTTCCATGTGCATGAATCCAGAAAATTTGCTATCTGAAGCTCGGATAGAGGGGCAAGGCTGAACTTTTAGATCTGTCCAGTGGTTTTCTACACAGCCTTTTTGATGAGTTTGTATTGTCATTGTAGCATCACATTTTTTTTACAAAGGTAGTTTGCCCATTTTGAAACCTTCATGTAACTGAACTGATTCTTGCGCCAAGGTAGTCATGCCCTATTTCTGTCGGTCATAGAGGGCGTGAACGTGTACAATTCATAGATAATGCCCAATTCAAAATTAATTGCATAAATTTAATCAGTCAACTAAATCATTACATATTCTTACAATTAAGCAATCACATATAAATAAGGTGTTCTTTCGTATTCTTTTAATGGAAAACCACCAACGGGGAAAAACGGGGCATTGGAAAATGAGACCTTATCCAATGCTTACAAATCCACTATGAGAAGTTACAACATTATTACTGGTTACATTACCCAAAAAAACATTCTCAATTGTTACATAGACTCAAACCCAAGCAAACAAAACACTGAAAAAAAAAATTTTGGATCATGTTATAGGTTCTTAGTTCAAACTTTCAAATTGAACCCAAGTTTCAATTCACAAAACATGGAAGGAATGATTAATTGCTAACTCACATGTTTTATGTTGTCAACTAGGTTCTCTAAAGTCCCTCTCTTGTGTACCTATCAATTATCTTATTGCTATGTTTGGGAGCACCAAATTAGCAGTTTGGATTTGGGATTAAAGAAAATTTAGTTCAAATTTTGTACTAAATTTTTTCCAATCCCAAATTCAAAGCACTGATTCAGTGCTCCCAAACCTGTGTTAGCTGGACTCGCTGGCGACGGCCAGAGTGTCCGTGTCGACACGACACGACACGGACACCGACATGGGATATGTGTCCGACCCTCTGTTCTTCAACCGGACACGGCTGATGACGAAAATAAACAAAAGGATGTGTAACTCGATGCTTGTGAAGGATTAGGGATTTTTTTCGTGTTTTATTTAATAGATCTGCAGCTATACGAAGCTTCCTGGTTCAACAATGGCGCTCTGATTCGAATCGGTGGTCTAAAGGTTGAAGACGACTTCTTGTTTGTGAAATTGCATGTGCTGACTTTGCAAGTACCTACCTGAGCGTGGTTTCACGCAATTGTTAATAAAAGTAAAAAAATACTTATTTATTTGGATCTGAAAAGATAGAGACAATAATGGGCTTTTTAATAAAAGTAAAAAATTCAATGCCTTACAGCTGGAAAGCAATACCTACAGCTGTGTGTGGTATACAGCCGTTACTTACCTTTATTACGAGTTATGACTGATATACATATTGTTTATATTGTTGAGTTGGGCTTCCTTGTTAATTGTGCTTTGACTTGTACAGGCCCAAAGGTCAAGACTAAGATGACAATTAAAAGGCATCTTAGCCCAAGCCCAAACTTGCCCAAAAGGAGCCCTTAAAATTTCTGATTACAGGTTCCCATCAAATAGTAACACGGGAATGCATATCCATGACTATGGCCATGCCACCAATCAAATGAGGCAAACAAATGGTAGTAATAATTATAAAATGTTTATAAAAAATTACAATTGATATATTTATTTTTTTAGTTTTATGATTGATGTCTCAAACATAAAAAAATATTCCAATTTTTTTTTTTTAACTTTCCAAAGTGTCCAAGTACTCGTGTCCAATATTTGGACACTTTTGAGCCGTGTCCACGTATCCTGTAAATTGATAGATTGACGAATCCGACCCCTAGACACGCACCCGTGTCCGACACCCGTACCCGAGTCCGGGTAACATAGTCCCAAACACAACATATGTGTATTTTCGGAAAGTTTGAAGATTTAAAAGCCAATTAAGAATAGAAAAAGTTATCGAATAGATATGTTCTGTTCTCCACTAGGAAAATATTGAAGTTATCTTGATCAGTCGAACAAACAGTTGATAATTGCAAACTCACTGGAATGATCTCAATTATTTAAGGTCCTCTAGACCAGCTATGATCCAACTAAACTAGAAATTATTAACCTAAATCTTGTAGCCTCACTTATCTTACATAATGTGTGTAATCAAAGTAGCCTAGACAATCTTCATTATTTCCTAAATATTGACCCAAGAGAAGAGGGGTGGGGGGCGGACGAAAAGTTGATAATTGAGAACTCACTGGAATGATCTCAACTAGTTAAGGTCCTCTAGACCAACTATGATCCAACCAAACTAGAAATTATTAACCTAAATCCTGTAGCCTCTAGGTCACTTGTCTTACCTAATGTGTGTGATCAAAGTAGTCTGAACATTCTTCATTGTTTCCTAAATGTTGATGGTATTGTAGGACTGGACTTCTTATGTTGTATATTCTAATGTCAGCGTCATTCTTATATCAATCTGGACTTTCACTGTTGGAATTCCCATCCCATAAGAAAGGTGGCAGGATTCGAACCTATGGCCGGCCTGCCCGACTAAATCTTCTTTGAGGCCGGGAGTAGAGGTAGTTTCCTCCGTTGCCTGTACTTTTACGGTACAAATGGCTCCCAGTGCTTGTAATAGAGGCGGGTTCAAGTACTCTTCAGCAATGTAAGTTTACCCATGGTTATAGAGGTTTGGATGCGAAAGGTCAGTGCTTTGGAGGCGTGTTATTGCTTGTCGGTTTGGTGAAGAGGAGGGAGGTTGGGTGTCTAGAGGTGTGAGTGCATCAGCAGGCATGGGTGCATGGAAAGGTATCAGGAGGGGGTGGGACGAATTCTCTAAGCGGATACGGTTTTGGGTTAAGGGATGGTCGTCGGGTGAGGTTTTAGACGGATGTTTAGTGTGGGGATGTGGTGTTGGCTTGTAGGTTTCCTAGACTTTATAGGATGGTTCAGGAGAAGCATGTGGTGGTGGCAGATTGTTTTAGTTTAGAGAATGGGAGAGCTAGTTGGGATGTGAGATTTCGCAGAAATTTTAATGATTGGGAGTTGTTGGAGTTTACTGAATTAATGGGATTAATTTATAGTCAAGTGGTGGAGAGGGAAGGAAGGGATGAGATGGTGTGGGTGGGGGATTCGAGAGGGGAGTTTAGAGTGAGGCTGTTTTATAAAAGTCTTACGAATTCGCTAAGCAACGGGCTTCCTTAGAAGGTTGTATGGAGGACTTCAGCTCCGCTTAAGGTGGCTTTTTTCACGTGGACAACGATGCTTGGTAGCATTCTTACTCTGGATAATCTAAGGAAAAGACGACAAATTACAGTCAATTGGTGTTACATGTGTAAGAAGGCGGGAGAGTTGGTTAATCATCTCTTGGGCAGCGGATGTTTGGAGTCTGGTCCTGAATGTCTTTGGGGTGGAATGGCTAGTGTCAAGGAATACGATGGATATGTTAGAAGCTTGGAGAGGAAGACGAGTGGAGAGTCGGGCTAGGAAGGCGTGGAGGGTTGCCCCTCTTTGTATTTGGTGGGGGTTGTGGCACGAGCGGAATAGGAGATCCTTCGAAGGGCTGGAGTCGCTAGTGTGGGTTATCAAGGCGAATATTTTACATTCTTTTTATTCTTGGGTTAATGGGAAGAATTGCCAATCTGTAGATAGTTTGTTGGATTTTGTTGACAACTTATCGTTGTAATGGTGCTTCTTGTGTTTCTTGTTTGCTTTGTTAAGGGTTCGCTCCCCTTTGAGTACGTTTGTTAATACATTTTTACTTATTAAAAAAAGAAGTAATAGAGGCGGGTTCACTTCTATGCCAGTTCCTCTGAGTGCGGGGTCTCAATTATTTTCACCCAAAATAGAGGTCATGCTTTTGAGAATTCCATTTTGGCAGAGCCAAGCCGCCTGGGAGTACTCTTTGAATCGTTAAACCAATAAAGGTGTGGCCAAAGGTTCGGGCCGATCTTTTTCTCTTCGATCAGTGATTCAGTTCGCTATCAGGGCCAGAATTTTATCGGGAATCAAAATTTGTAGATAGGGACTGATTGACTGGAGCACTCTTTGACCGGTGTGAACCCCCACACCCCCTGACGGGGATCAAAATCTGCAGATAGGGACTATTAACTGGAGCACTCTTTGACCGGTGCTAAATCAAGTGAATAAAAATTTGAGAGCAAATATGCGCAAAGTACAAACAACAATAAATAGGAGTTTAAGGGATAGACCGATAGAGAAAAAGCAAACTCCACGATATAACGAGGTTTAGCATTCCCGCCAACGTCCTCGCCTTAAGAAGCCCTCTTGAGAATTCCCCAAATTTACTATTTGGACTCTTCTTGTAGGGTGAGAGCACAACCTTTACACACTCTCCTTCCAGGTGGAGAGCCAACCTTTAAAAGTTATCCCAAGCTTCCTGCTGAGTGCAATTCCCTTTACTTGGTCTTTACAAGGGTTCTTCAACCCTTAATCACTCACAATAAATGAGATTCAATGTGTGTGTGTGTATAACAATGACTCTTTTGAAAGATTGATGTGTACAAGTGTAAAATCACAATCCTAGATTTAAGATTGAATAATCAAGTTGAAAGCTCAATTGTAGGTCAAATATGTATGAGTATCAATGAATGTTTCAATGGTGTCTAATACTCATAAATGCTAATACAATTCCTTATTTTATAGTCCCATTAAAAAATATAGCTATTGGGGGCATTAAATGATTGAAGGGGCAGCTGAACAAGCAGTTAGATTTTGAAATTCATCAAAAATAGTTGACTAACGCATATAGCAGTCAACTACTTAGGCTAGATGAGTTGACTAATGTGAAGGTATGAGTCGACTGATTTTTTATGTCCGTCTCTCGCCTCAAGAAGCCCTCTTGAGGATTCCCTAAATTTACTAGTTGAACTCTTCTTGCAGGGTGAGAGCAAAACCTTTACACCCTCTCCTTCCAAGTGGAGAGCCAACCTTTAAAAGTTATCCCAAGCTTCTTGCTGGGTGCAATTCCCTTTACTTGGTCTTTACAAGGGTTCTCCAACCCTTAATCACTCACAATAAATGAGATTCAATGTGTGTGTATATAACAATGACTCTTTTGAAAGATTGATGTGTACAAGTGTAAGATCACAATCCTAGATTTAAGATTGAATAATCAAGTTGAAAGCTCAATTCTAGGTCAAATATGTATGAGTATCAATGAATGTTTCAATGGTGTCTAATACTCATAAATGCTAATACAATTCCTTATTTTACAGTCCCATTCAAAAATATAGCTGTTGGGAGCATTAAATGAGTGAAGGGGCAGCTGAACAAGCTGTTAGATTTTGAAATTCGCTGAAAATAGTCGATGCATATAGCAGTCAACTACTTAGGCTAGATGAGTCAACTGATGTGAAGGTATGAGTCGACTGATTTTTTATGTCCAAAAGAGCCTTTACTCTCTGGACAAGAATAGTCGACTGGCTTTTAAATGCCACTTCTTTGAAGTCAATAATGGTCACTCTCTGTCTAGAATGAATCGATTGGTTTTTCTTTGTGAGTCAAATGATTCATAGAAGCTTCAAGTTGTGAAGTCTCTGGGGCAAATGAGTCGACTATAATATTTTGAAGTTTAACTAAGGCTCAATTCCATTCCTTATCAACCGAGGACTTTGGAGATTGACGCAATTAAGTTCAAGTCCTAATTCTTAAAGTCTAGGAACCAAGCAAATAATATAAATGATAGGGTAAATTACATTGACCTCCCCTGAGGTTTGAGCAAATATCACGGAGATGGGGCATTTGAGTCTTATTACTTTCACCACCCCTTATGCCGTTAGTGTGTTGACAAACATCAAATTTAAAGATGAAAAGTCAAGTGTACCCTTTATATACTTATCCCAACATATATATATATATATATATATATATATATATATATATATATATATATATATTTATATAAACTTGATTTCTCTCTCTTCCCTGTTACATAAACTCTCTATCTCCATCACCACAAAACCATAAACACAAGCAAAGAAAATCAAACAATTCAAAACCCTAACCCTAACCATAGTTTACCTTGATTACATGATTTCCACTGCATTTTCAAATAGGAAAAAAAAAAAAATCAATATAACAAATCAGAAACTTTAACCCTAATATAGATATATAGAAACAAAAGTATAAGTGAATAGATATCCAAAAAAAATCACTGCAAATTCTGGTAACTGAAACCGATGGGATTAGAACTAGAACAAAGGAAAATTTGAACCTAAGGCCCTTGCAACCTTATGTGGCTCATCTTTTGCATTAATAGGGCCAACACGAAAGTCAATTTCACAACGCTTCACCCTCAAACAACACGAGACGAGGACAACCACTTGGTTGAACCAATTCACTAACTTCACTTGGTCTCTCTGCCTTATTGTCCACTCGCCTCCCACTTCTCAATGTGTTTATAGCTTGCACTTGCTCATGGGGAGGAAATCCCGATGTAGGACTTGTTTCCACCATATAATGTGCCTTCGGATTCCTCTTGGGTTGACTTGGTAGCTTACCCTTCTCTCTTGCATTTATGGAATTAGCTATCTTCCCGATTTGGGATTCAAGATTTGAGATTGATTGAGAATGAGAGTGTAACAATTTATTGTTAGCTTCTAAGCCACCCAAAGCCGCCAAGACTTTATCTTCAAAAGTGGAATCCCTAGGATGAGCTTGAGATTGATGAGAGTGAACTTGAGAGTTGGAAGAGTGAGGATGAGAATAGTGATTCAAATTTTGATTGGAATAGAAATGAGAGTGGTACCCTTGAGAATTTTGAAAATGAGGAGGCACATACCTTCCTTGGAAATTCAAATTGTGAGGAGGGTTTGCACCATCTCCTTGTTTTTTCCAAGAAAAGTTTGAAGTCTCTCTCCATCCCGGAATATAAGCATTGGAATAAGGATGAGCAAATGTAGCATTAACTTGTTCTAGTTGCTCACTTGAGAAAGATTGTCTTTGAGGGCAATTGGAAGTATTGTATGTAACTAGAACAAGTCATGCCCTATTCATTTTGAGGAGGTGAAGAGTAGAATGATTGAATTGCCGGTTTTTGGCTTAACAAGAATTGGTCATGCCTTTGTGTAAGAGTTTTAACCTCGGCAACAATCTCCATTGGACTCTCTACTTGATACACATTCGAGTTCTTTTTCCCTCCTACATTAGAATTGCCACTTACCCGAGATGATTGAGATTTATTCATTGAATTTTCGCTAATATTTTCAAAGAGGTGCCAAATTTCATCTTGATGTTTTCCAAAGTATGAACCTCCACACGAAGCATCCACTATACCCTTGTGGGTATCGGATAAGCTCTCATAGAAGTATTGAACCAATTGCCATTTTGGAATGCCATGATGTGGGCACTTCCTTAGCAATTCATTCAATCTCTCCCACGCTTCACGTGGAAGCTCCCCATCCCAATGAGTAAATTCCCTAATAGCAATTCTCATTGAGTTGGTTCGGCTCACGGGATAGTATTTTTTCAAAAATTCACTTTGCATTTGAACCCATGATGTTATTGTATTTATCCCCAAATTGTTGAACCAATACTTAGCTTTGTCTTTAAGAGTGAAGGGAAAGAGTTTCAATTTCAAAACTTTAAGCAATCCAGGCACAAGGAAGAGAACCAAGGCAACCACAACAAACTTTCAATTTTTTTTTTTCGGTAAACTCTTGAATTGAACTTGAAGACGGAGATTGTGACTGGATTCCTGAGACTGGTCTCGACACAATCGATTTTTGTTTTGGGATTTTTTTGCTGGTGAGTTTTCTTTGGTTTGAGTCAATCTTCAAGGTCTTGAGCTTTTTGGAGTTTTTGCCAATGGAGAACTTAAAGGATTTGTAAGAGGAGGTTCGGTAGATGAGAAGCACAAGATGGCTTTGCAAACCGCGGCGGTGCTAACAGAGATATTCCAATAACGATGAGGTTGTCGGAGTATCTAAAGTTTGAGAACACAAGGATGGCCATGGAGAGAGAGAGAGAGAGATACAAAGTGAGTGTTTTTTGAGAGGGAGAGAGGCACATTCATCCGAGTGTTGGGGTTTTGGGTTTCGTGGGTGTGAGTATGCTGTTGGGAGATTTTGTTGACGGTGGGTAGGGGAGAGCGAAATTGCAGAACAAGCGTGCGTGGGAAGGAGAGAAGAAATTGGGGGTAATAAAACCTACAGGTAATATGGCCATTTTATAAAATTTGGTTTACGGTTTTGACAGATAGAAAATGGCAAGGGGGTGATTGAGCACTAGTACCAAACCTTTAGGGGAGATGAAAGTAATAAACGCTCCATCCGTGTGAGATTTGCCCAAACCTCAAGGGAGGTCACTGTAATTTACCCTAAATGATATGCCAATGGTCCTAGAGACTAAGTCCTAGATATTGAGCTTTTAATTTAGTTATTCAAAGATAACTTTACATTAAGTTCTAGCTCTCACCATAGACTATCTACCCAATGTCTTCATCTTTGATTTCAATGTCTTTTGAGATTGTAGATTTCATTCCTTCTTTGCTTTGCCATTCTTTTATAATCTCACCGATCATGACCTGTATAGCATGCACTCAAGTATATATTAGTACAATACTCCAATGGTTTTTTATCATCAAAATTACCCTTTTACCCTTGGGTTGAAACCTTGGCGTCAACATTCATAATTCTAGATGTAGCTTCGTCTTCATTAACATGCAGCAATGCTGAACTAGTCAATCAAGTGGCACAACTCTAAATGGTCAAAAATGGATTTTGCTCACAAAATATGCCAGCACTTTACAATCCTAACATCTTATGTTTTTTTTATATATTTTTTTTCATCCACTTAGTGTGCATGTTGATTTTCAAGTCTTCAAACAACTGACTTAGTTCTATCTTTTGTACCATGCGGCTCATCTTTTTTCATCATTTCATTTTAGGGTAAAGTACAGCCACACCTCCTGAGGTTTGGCAAAAGGACACTTAGAGGAAACTTACCTATTTTTTGGACAAAGACACCCCCTGAAAGTTTAAAAATGGACAAAGACACCCCTTTACACGAGAAATTGACCAAATTACCCTTTGACCCTTTAGAAGACTTTTTTAACTTAACACTTTAATAAATTGGACCAATCTACCCTCATTAACAATTTATGCATAAAAAAAAAATAAAAAATAAAAACTTTATAATGTTCACTTTTTTTTTATTTTTTTTATTTTTTTATTTTATTAATGTCCCAACTTCTTAAAAATGTAGACATCTAAAATGATTTTTTGATACAATACATATATTTCAAATAAATTATATTTTGTTATTACTTATTTTCTTTTTCTTTTTTATTTTTAAATTAAGATGCTTAATTCTTTCATCTAAAAAAATTAAACCAATCTCTTTTTCTTAAAAATAAAAAATATGGTACCAGTATAACTTTATGCATCTTAAATTATATATGAAATATTATGCGTGCATTTCCCAACATAAAAGGGGGAAAAAATAATAATAAAACAAAGGGAAAAAAAAAAAAAAAGCATGCATAAAGTTAAGATGCATAAAGTTATACTAGTACCTATTTTCTTTTTTGTTGGAAAATGCATAATATTTGATATATAATTTAAGATGCATAAAGTTATACTAGTACCTTATTTTTTATTTTTAAGGAAAAGAGATTGGTTTAATCTTTTTAGATGAAAGAATTAAACATCTTAATTTAAAAATAAAAAAGAAAAAGAAAAGAAGTAATAACAAAATCTAATATATTTGAAATATATGTATTGGATCAAAAAATCATTTTAGACGTCTGCATTTTTAAGAAGTTGAGACATTTATAAAGTAAATAACAAAAAAAAAGAAAAAAGAAAAAAACGTGAACAATATAAATTTTTTTATTTTTATTTTTTTATACATAAATTGTTCGTGAGGGTAGATTGGTCCAATTTATTAAATTGTAAAGCTTAAAAAGTCTCCTAAACGGTCAAAGGGTAATTTGGTCAATTTCTCATGTAAAGGGGTGTCTTTGTCCATTTTTGAACCTTCAGGGGATGTCTTTATCCAAAAAACAGGTAAGTTTCTTCTGAGTGTCTTTTTGCCATACCTCAAGGGGTGTGACTGTACTTTACCCTTCATAAACATTCTTGAGCACCCTTGTTTATCATATTATGGAGTGTGACTGGCCTTATCACTGTCTTGTAAAATTTCTTGTTCATTACACAATACGCTATCCCTACTTTGTCCTTGTGATGTTAATTTTGCGGGAAACATCCTGTTGGCGGTGGAAATTGAAGCCATGTCACAAGAGCGCAAGGTGGATATGTGCCACATCATGTCGTGACTTCACACACTGGGGGGCTTTAAAAAGGTTGTGTTTTGGTGTAAAGAGAGAAGTGCTAGCTAGGGATATTGCCGCAAGATGCTTCTCCTACAGATAGCCTATCCATGTGGATCATTGATTCATGACATGTCTTGGCCTTCAAGCATGCATGTACAAACCTACCCGTAAAAGTTAATTCAAAATGAGAAAAATGAATGATTGTGTAACTATCTCTGTTAGATGGACTGTTCAATAGTACATGGAGTGCCCTTGTTGGGCACATCAGACTCAGACAAGGGTATTGTTTATGTGTCTGATACAAGTGGTTGGATATGTACCTAAAAAAACATATCCAATATTTCATTTTTATTATATATTGCTTCAACATGAGTTATATGCTTATTTTGAACACCATATTAAATGAAAATGTTATTTTTTACTTTAGAAATTAAATAATATGAATATTTAGCAGTGTCCTTTTATCCTTCTATTTGGAATTTGATACATCCAACGCTCGGAGACATACCATAGTCAAGGTAATATAGGTAACTCGGGCCATAATCCTAGTTTAATGGAGGTTACATTTTTTTATATGTTTTATCTTAGTCCATCGCATCACAAAATACGCTTAACTCTTATGTTTAGTCTTACTTATAATATGACTAGTTTTAATCCTAGTCCATCGAATCACAAAATCTGCTTAACTCTCTTATGTTTAGTCTGTCTTATAGTAAGTATATGACTAGATTTAATCCTTGATTTATGGAGGTTACATTTTATTTTTAAATATTTTATCTAAGTCCATTGAATTGCAAAATCTGCTTGTCTTAACCCTTTGTTTAGTCTCTTATAGTCATTCCCAAACTTTGAAAAAGGAGAGATAACATGCATCATAGATAATAAGTATTGGACTTTGCATTGTCTTCTTTACTCTTTGTTACGGGTTTTGTTGCCTTTGGACTTGTGTTTTGTATTGCTGGAGGATTTGCCCTCCCAACTTTTGTTATGTCGTTTTCTTTTAGTAGACTTGATTTACCATGGAAAAAGTTTGATAGGCAAAGTAAAACCTTCCTCAATCCTTCGTTTGGGGAGGTAAAATGCTTGAATTTATCCCATCTATGAGAGTTAATGTAGGATTTTGATTTTATTGTGTTCCCTGACTTCCTCAGGCTTTGTGATGAAGCTACAAGCGCACTTGATAGCACAACGGAAGCAGAGATTTTAAGTGCTTTGATGTCTCTTTCAAACAATCGAACTTCAATCTTTGTCGCTCATAGGCTTACGACTGCAATGCAGTGTGATGAGGTAAGCAAATTACTCTGCTGCATTTTTCGAGGTTTCTTTTGGAACTTCTTGTTCTTTGTTGTTTTCATTGCCACGGAACAGTAATAGATGGTATGCTTTGACTGAGAATGGTGTATAGAACCATACAGTCTTCGTTAGAAAGATTACAAGAAAGCAACCATGCCCACCATTACCAGCTACCTCTCGGCCACCGTTGCTGCATCTCCCCTCTCTCTTCTGCGAACACCACCTTAGCATTCCACCTCCACTTTAAGCTCCATGCCACAAATAAAATAAAAGCGGAGAGAGAAATTAAGCAAGAACACAAGAATATATTTTGCTATTTTCCATTTCTTTTCCTTTCTAACAATTTTGAGTCACCCATACATGAAGATATGTTTGCCATTTTCCATTTAGCTCAAGTTTTAAATCTGTTTACTGCCGACATTCTCTTTGGGACATTCTGTTGTACTGTTAAGCAACCATTTCTCTGTGCTACTAATATGCTTCTCCATGCTAAGGTTGTTTGACTCTATTGTCTTTGCTTTTGTAATTCCATTATTGTGTTACTCATGATTTGAAATTTCTAATTATTGTTTTCAGATAATAGTTCTTGAGAATGGGAAGGTGGTAGAACAGGGGCCGCATGAAGTTCTCTTGTTGAATGCAGCAAGGTACGCACAGCTATGGAATCGGCAAAATAACACTATTGAGGGAGTTGATGCCTCTGTCAAACTAAATAACACTGTTGAGGGAGTTGATGCCTCTGTCAAACTGGTGGCGTGAATATAAATTTCCACCTTAATTTTCATATTGGCACTTGTATTTATCTTGTACTATTGGTAACATTTATAGCTTTTGTTCGGCTAATGTTGATAGCTGGGAATCCAATCACCATGTGTACCAAGATTTAAGAAACATCTACCTCATACCACCTGGACTTAGAGGCCCAAAGTTTGGTTTTGTCAGCATGCGAATGTTAAATCGGTCATTGTGTGATGTTAACTCAACTACACCGCTTGAGTGTCTTGATATTCAGTTAAATTATGTTAGAGAAAGGCTATAGAAGTGACAATGTTCGTTCATTCAGCCTCTGGAATGATAAATTGTGTTCCAGAGTTCTCTTTGATAAGCTCGTTAATTCCATGTCAAAGAGACTGCAAATTTAAAATGGATCTGCAAAGAGACGGCAAATTTTGAGCCTTTTCCATTTATACCCGATTTTGAGGCCAGGAGGAGGAGGAGGATGATTGCGGGCTTAAGTTTAAGCTGTGGACATTTGTCTTTGAAGATGTGGTTCACACAAAACCCGTGTCATCCAATGGCTGACTATGGACAGTCACCACTACTGTCCGTAACACTTCTCTGAGTTCGAAGGTTTTCTTGTTTTTAATTTTAGTTGACAGCCATTGTTATTCTATTTGATGAATCAATTTGATATAAAGAGTTAAAAGTACAAAGATTTGGAATGAATTGCACCACTCAAAATGAATGAATTCAAGAGCTTGTTTTATTCCTTGGATCTCTTAAAAATAAGGTCCCATTTGGGAGTGCTTCTTGGTAAAAGGAATTTTGTTGAAAAGAATTAATAAGAAAAAGATGTTTGTCGAGCATATTTCTTAAGTATACTTTTAACTTTTAGATAATTTTTTTCTTGACAGTAATATCATTTATCTTTAACAATTATTGCAAGCCACCAATAAAAACTGAAGGAGGTAGTGGTGGAAGGCGATGGCAATGTTGGTGGTGGTGGCAGAAGACAATTGCGATGGTGGTATTGGTGATGGTAGAAGGTGGCGGTTGAGGGTGATGGTGGTAATGGTGGAAGGTCGCGGTTGAGGGTAGCGATAGTGGTGGTAGAGGTCATAGTGGCGGTGATAGTGGAAGGTGGCAGTGTTAGAAGGTGCATGGCAGTGGTGTGGTTGGTGGCGGTTGTAGTGCAAGGTGGTGGTGGTGGTTGGTGGTGGTAGTAGTGGAGGGTGATGCTAGAAATGGTGGTGGAAGGTCACGGTGGCGGTGGCGGTGGCGGTGGTGGTGGTGGCGGTGGCTATGGCAAAGATGGAAGGTGGCGGTGGCAATGGTGGTGGTGGTTGTGGTGGAAGGTCACGGTGGTGATGGTGCTGGTGGAAGGTCACGGTGGCAGTGGCAGAAGGTGGTAGTGAAAGGTGGCGGTGGCGGTGGCGGTGGTGGTGGAGGGTGATGGTAGTGATGATGGTGGTGGTGGTGGTGGAACGAATGACCAAGAAAGAATTTAGAACAATATTATCTACATGGGCAAATTAGTAAAATAATAAATTTATCCTAAAAAAAAATTGGCCTTTTTTGGTGTTTTAAAAAAGAGGTTTTAAAAGTAATATTTTCTTACTTCTATTTCCTTACTTCAATGTCATTGACTTTTTAAGAAAGTCCTTTACATATCTATAATCATATAATCAAATGTCACAATTTTTTTTTTTTTTATGAAATGGAGTTTTCAAACTTGAAAGGACATTTTGAGGTTTCAGAAATCTCCCTAAACAGGGCCTAATTAAGTTATGAAACTAACAGTTGGAAGATAATTTTCATCAATATTAACGGCTTATATCTCCTCTTTCCAATTAAAAATTCGAAAGTTGTCTTTGTGCCGAAAAATATATACATATCACTTGGTTGATGGGGAAAGTAAATGTAGGTCTTCAAAAATGCCGAGGTTAATGGATTAGTACTTACTCTAATGAGTTTAGGCCCACTAAACTTCTTAGCCTCAGGCTCAAGCCCGGTCTCTCAGTTATTGCTCCTAAGTTTGGTCTTCCATATTCATCCGGCCATAACATGTTTAATTGTAAGGATGAATACATTTGAGACAATTCTAAAAACAAGTAGAGAGTTTTGTAAGGTAAAGAAGTAGATATTCAAGTAGAGACAATTCTTAAAACACTTGGATACTTGTAGAGTTGGTGTAACTTAAGTTTAGAATTAATCATTTGAAGAAATTCTATTCTAGAGCAACGTTTGGCGAAAAAATGCCCTATATAAGAAGTTAAAATTATTGTTATTAATCATCAACTAAGAGTAAGTGACTTGCTTATGTTAACCAAATCAAAAAATGGTTTCGGAACTTAATTTTAGGTTTTTAAGAATCCAAATTAATGATTTGTACATGACCGTGTAATAAATTTTATATACTCAATTTTAATATTTTGTTAGTTTTCAATCTTTAACTTGTTTCTGGAACTTTTTAATTTTATTTAAAAATCATGGAATACCATTATGTAATCTTTTTAATTTTATTTAAAAATCGTGTAATACCATTATGTAATCCGCTTCCAAAACTACCCTTAGTAATTAGAAGGTGAAAAAAAGTTATTCTACTCATGTTCCATCTAATTAAAAAGGTATGATAGTAATTTGATTGTCCATTTTTCTTTACTTTTCTCTCTCTTCTATCTGATCCAAAAATAATACTATCTTTTCTTTCTATCCCATTATTCTATCTAATTAATAATATAATTATTTTTTATTTTATTTTATTTTATTTTTTGTAAAAGGATCATAACAATATTTAATTTTGGCATGTTGTTTGTATTTTCTTTAGTTAAATTGTTATTTTTAATATTTTTTACTATTTATAGGTGAGGTGCAAACAACATTGGTCAAGTAGATATACTTTTTTGAGTAGCTATGATCATGCTAAATGTTTGTGTATACAAATGAAAGAGTCATTGGTTATGTAATGGAACAATAATCTTCTCCAGGAAAGGAGAGGTCCTGCACACCCACCAATCATTGGATTGGATTCTGCCATATCAATGGTTGGTGGATGTGTAGGACCTCTATTTTCTTGGAGAGGATCCTTATCCTATGTAGTGTGGTATTTTTTTTAAGTGTTATACCTCTTAATCAATGTAACATATTACTTTTCTGATTCACCTACATATACAAACCAACAAGTCATAAATATTGCGTCATATAAGTTCTTAAGTACTAATGCCAACAAGTATATTAATTTTCCATACATACTTATATACAAAACAAAGTGCCCACATAACTTATACACATGTTTATTGTCCACACACATAAATTAGTGAGGCCAAAAAAGAACATGTTTAAGTTAACAACTACTACCCATATAACTAAAATGAGATGTTCTTTATCACCAAATAGCATTACATACGAGGAGGGGTAAACAAGTAACTTACACTCACCAACTCTTTTCTAGATTCTTCCTTTAAACAATAATTTTGTGCATTAAGGTTATATAAGTAAATTAAGCTTCATCTCCTATGGTCAACTAGCTAGTCAACTTAGGGCTTCCTGTTATTGATAAGCGAAGAGTATTGCATATTCGAACCCTTAAATGTGTGTATGATAAGGCTTTAGTGATATTTTTATCTGGTTCTTATATTTATTTTTGTTTATTTACTTTTCATAGGTTTTTACCCAAAAAGATGGTCAATTTCATGTACTTAGAGCTTATTGCGGTGTTCTCGGTGCTTAAGGAGATGTTTGGGGACTTCCGGGTCAATTCGGGACTCAACCAGAAAGATTTAGTGAAGTTTCAGGCTTTAGCATAACTTTTACTCGAAACTCGAAATTAGGAAAACTCTCCTTTTATGGAAAGAAGACTCGAATTCCATGGTTTTAGTGTCTAATAGCAATTTCAAGATTCATACTCCAAATAAGTAAAAATAGCATTACAAACTAGGTAAAGAAGAAAAGATGCTTTGAAAAAATTTGTTGAAATTAAAACTAAGTGTTAAGACTGTGCTCGAGCACTAACATCCTAGAAGGTATAAAAACAAGCAGGAATGATGCAAAATCACTCTTCTTTATTTCCTTACGGGCTTAATTCTCCCCAAAAGCTGTAAAACTCATCTAAAGAAAATTATGACTTGTTCTCCACTATAAAAGAAGATGAAAAGACAAAATGAAGGGGGCTTGAAAAGTTAGTTTGGATTCGTATCCTAGTTAACTTGAGTGATTAAGTCATTTGGGGTGTCTTGACACCTAATGCCCTAAAATCGGCCAGTTTGGGAGTCATTGACAGAAATCTTGCTACATAGATTTTCTATAGAGCTTAAGGGATCCGAATATTGCACAAAACTCTTATTGATGAAAAGGAAGAAGAAGAAGAAAAAAGAAAAAAGGGAAAAAAAAAAATTTGAAGAAAAAAAATGCATACTTGTATTAGAATTGTTATTTATGCCTTCAGAATCATAATTTGAAATTTTTTCTAGCAAATTAAGGAATATTATGAAATATATATGAGTATGGATGGTAAGAAATATAGAAGGATGCAAGTTTACTTTTAAAAGGACACTAGAGTTCGAAATTGTTTGATACATGGATTTGAATTTTATGTGGGGACCATAATTGTTGTGCATGATGTTGAAGGTTCGAAATTGTTTCTGACTGTGTATAATCTACATAATTGATGTAATTTCTTGTTTATTGATTGTTAGGATACCTTTGCTTGCTAAACATGTGATAATTGAGCTAAATTTTGGATATTTGTGGGTACCATCTCTGGAAACTCTCACGAGACTACAACTCGTTCACTAAGGGTAACCTTGGGGTTTAAAGGCTTGTTACATATGCTAAATGCAATCGTGATTCTTATGAAAACGGACTTTATGTTTTTGTTTTTATTTTGATTATAGTTTAGTTTTGTATTACTAAGGGACTAGCAATATGTAAGTTTGAAGGTATGATAAACAAAGAGTATTGCATATTCGAGCCCTTAAATGTGTGTATGGTAAGGCCTTAGAGATACTTTTATCCAGTTCTTATATTTATTTGCTTTTTGTAGGTTTTTACCCAAAGAAACGGTCAATTCCATGTATTTAGACCTTATTGCAATGTTCTCAGTGCTTAAGGAGATGTTTGGGGCCTTCCAGGTCAATTCGGGACTCAAGCGGAAAGATTTGGTGAAGTTTCAGGCTTTAGGGCTCGAGCACAACTCTATAGGGCTTTAGCACTGATGAAAAATTCTGGACCCACTTTAGTATTTTGGGCATAACTTTGTACTCGATACTCTAAAATGGGCAAACTTAACGTCTTTGGAAATATGACTCGAGTTCCGTCATTTTTGTGTCTAATAGAAATTTCTAGATTCGTACTCTAAATATGTCAAATAGCATTATAAACTAAGTATGGAAGAAAAGACACTTCGGAAAAATTTGCTAAAGAAAAAAAAACTAAATGTTGAGACAGTGCTCGAGCACTAACATCCTAGAAGTTATAAAACACGCGGGCCAGGAATGATGCAAAATCACTCTTCTTAGTTTCCTTATGGGCCTAATTGTTCCTAAAAACTGTAAAGCCTATCCAAGGGGGATTAAGAATTGTTCTCCATTATAAAATAAGATGAAAAAACACAAGGAATAGAGCTTAGCACTTTTTGCATTGCTTGGCGACTTTTAAGGTTTTGAAGATTGAAGAAGAAGATCATAAAGAGTTTTTGGTGGTATATGGAGATGGTTTCTCCAACAACAATGAAGACATCTTTCCTCTCCATGAGTAGCTAAATTCCAT